GAGCGAGGAACATTGTAAGATCCTGCAGCATGTCGAATACTCCAGCCTTTATTCAATACAGCATCTAAGGCCTTGTCCATTCCATCACTTGACCAATGCTTATATGCACTAGGACGATAATTTAATGTTGGCTGTTGTCTTTGATGACTGCGTGTTGCACACAGTACCCTATCCTTCAGTGCAGGTATGTATGCAGCCATAAGCCTATAAAGATAATGACAAATATTCTAATAATCAAATTAATTATTGCACATTCGGGTGTGGCCAGTGTTCTTTTTAAAATATTCACAACTAAAACTCTGCATAATATTTTTTATTATAGGCCAAAATCTACATAAATTCAATAACCGTATACTATGGATTTTAATCAAAACTAGTGCTAATTTTATAGAGTCTAAGCTATGCCAGAATCATTGTCACAACTGGAAGTGACAAATAGTACAGCACCTCTCATCTCGTGGCCAATAATCACCCAGGCCCTCTTCATATGACGTTATTTACCATTTTTAACCATAAATTGCATCATGGCTCTTACCTCTTCAATAATCAACCTTCAACTCTTCTCTTTCTCTTCCGAGTTCTTTTCTCCCAACGAAGTTTAATATCATCTGTTTTGCGCATGGGTGAAATTAATTGCCCTAAGCAAAATGATGGTCACAAGGATATCTAAGGACCACAGAGCTACTGCATTCCCTCTATCAAGGACTCTAGAGGTGCAGGAATATTGCCTTTACTGTTATTATGAGGACAAAACTACTTTAGCCTAGATTTTTACACTTGTCCGGTAGTAGAGAGTTTCATCCAATCATACCTGTTGGCTGAAAATGTAGGAAAAAAAATTATTAAAAAACTTGAAGCAAGAGAGCTGGACTGCTGTCATGGTATGCTACCTTAGTTATCATAGGACTATCTTATCATATAATTAAAAGTTGTTTTGACAGTGACAAAATATGAAACAAGCGTCTGACTATACCTGCTGTCCGATAATCGATCATTTATTTTATACTATTAAATTGTAATTTTTAAATTTATGATACCTTGCCCAAAATGAAGTGAGCATATTCTGCTGTGCTTTTTTGTACTCCAATCTTTTCTATACATCCTGCTTAGCCAGGGGTCAGTGTACTTTTCTCATAGGCGACGGCAGAATTTGAGGAGTGGTCAGGCAAGGAATGGCGCGCGAAGCGCGCCGCGATTTTGGCCACACCCACTTTTCCCCACGTATTTTGGGCGTATACTCAACGCACTCATACAATATGATATAGCATAAAAATGAGCCTAAAAGGCCCCCTATCTTATCTGTAAAGCTCTATCCAACCTGTAAAATGCTAGTCCTGGTCCTCCTGGAAGGCTTGTTGACAAAGGAAAGCAGAAAAGACTGTCTCTTGCTAGCCATGGTAATTATTTATGACTAAAAATGATGTCATTAATTAAATTTTCATTTCCGGCCAAAATTTTTGGTCGGGCATTGCCCGTCCATGCCCGACCCTGCCGCCGCCTATGACTTTTCTGCCATTCTTTTCTTGAATTTAGTAGAAATTACTAAAACATGCAGCTTTCAAGAAATCATTTGCAAAAAAATTTGAAAATTTCCTTGATTTTCTATTTTTCTAATTTCAAAATTGTGACAAAACTAGATCTGGTGATCTGCTGAATTTTTACAAAATTTAAACTCCATCCTACTGTTGATTTTCTCAATTA